GTGCAACCAGCTTTCAGACAGCTTGCATGTCTCTAGATTGGTGCATTGTCGGTGGCTCACCAATGACTTTAAGCAAGTGAATCTTGCATCCCTGACTAACCTCAGGAGCACACCTCAGTCTTTTTAGTCCCCTCCTTGGACTCCTGATATGTGGCCCCTCCATCATGGCCAAAGGCCTTGAGCTCCTGTGCACTGCTGTGAGTTTGCCCCTTGGTGTCACGTGTTCCGTGCTGACAGTGAGGGTCAGGTCTTTCTCCCACACGTGCTCCCTGAAAAGACCACAGAGCACATCCCTGGACACCATCCTGTTTAGCCAGCCTCTAAAAAGCTCAGAAAAGGCATGTTTACAGTCATAAAACAGCCGTCAGAAGGTTCCAGACTCTGGAGAAATAGGGGGCAAGTTTTACAGGGCACAGATAAATCCTGTAGACCACACCAACAGCCCATCAATTGGGAAACTAATCCTCGGGTTCTAAATTAGTATTTTGATCCTGTATCTTGTTAAGGTAAGAACACTCAGATGACCCTGTCCTGGCCACCGAAACCTAGATATGTTATCCAGGGACAAGGGTTGTTCTTTGTTTTTCTGATAGAAAAGAGCCAAAAAGGACATTCTTGACCCTGATTCATTCTCGCCCTGTCTTGACTGGTGCATGCCCTAGAACCCCAGTAGCTTTTTGTGAGGTTACCAGGAGGTGACAGGCACCTGGGAGTGGCCAGCAGCATTTCAGAGCTGCTGGTGCTGACATCAAGTTTCAGAGTCAATGCCAAGGGCTCCAGTTCCACACTCTTCATTATGTAAGGAAAACAAACAACTATTTGTTTAAACCAGCGGTGTCATTTTCACTGAAATGTATTCATTGCACACTCATTATACTTTATATAGGACTTCAATACACATGGAAGAATGAAAGAGATTAAACTAGGCTCTTTGTCCATCCGTCAAGGTGGTCATTTTGTCCTTTGTTTTTTAGTATTTATTCATCTTGCACAGTAGATTTCTTTGTGATATTTCACATGTGTACACAGTATACGTTTGCCATGTGTACCCCGCAACCCTCTTACCCCCCTCTCACTTCCCCTGCTATTCCTCCTCCCAACTTGTCCGTCTTCCGCTGTTATGTCCTCTTTTTTAATCGCCCAACGAGTTTCACTTGAGTCACAGAAGTGTGGTGATCAGAAGTTAATGGGAAAGACATGATTCATGGCAGGTGGGCAAGCACCTACCAGTGGCTGCACCGGCTGAGAATTGTTTATTGCTTCCCTGGCAACCGTTAATTGTATATAACCCTCATGGAGTGGAGGGATCTCATGAGCTCTTCCCTCTCTCATGGCAAGCTATCTCAGGGTCCCGGTCTTGTGTAAGTAACTACACAGTTGTGAATTCTAGGATACAGTAGCCACCATGATGCCCTGACTTGGAAATCTGTGCTCCATACCATTCCCCACTGGCCTTTGGCTCTTCGGTTCCTTCTGCCCCTTCTGTGAAGATGCTTCCTGTGTCTTAAAAGGGGGTGGTACAGATATCCCATTTATGGCTTACCGTTCAACAGTCACTTGTCCCCAGCACTTTGACCAGTTATGAGTCTCTGCACTTAATATCCACTGCCTACTGCAAAAACAAGCTTATCTGACCAAAGCACGTACAGTGGCACTATCTACCCGTGATTTAGAAGGAAGTTTGATGGGCATATCATATCCACTTAGAAAAACAAAAGCGCAGCTTCCTTACTAGGACCTGTGACCACATCAGCCCAGGAGTTTGGTTGAGTTTAGCGTACCAGATGCAAATCCTCCAACCTCCTGTGGAATCAACAGGTCATGCAATTCGACCAGAAATTGGACGGTTACCCACACAACAGACTCACCACTGTTGCACCAGTGGTGACACCTTGCCTGGCTGATCAGATGTACAGGGGGTTCACGGCTGAGTAAGTCTGCTGGTGGCAGCAGTAACTCGGCATAGTAGCACCTTCCACTGTGGAGGCCCACACGGAGGAAACATGATCCCCTGCTGCCCTATGACCACAGCATGTGGTGTCTTCAGCAACATGATCTTACTGTCTAGTTCTGATGGCTAATCAACAGCAGTGCCAATTGCCTGTACAGTTTTAGGAGTAGCAGAGACCTCCCTGACCAACAACTCATAGACAGTAGCAACTCCTGACACTGGAGATTTTATTCAATAGCCCATGGTACTAGGGGCATAGTCACTCATTCAAAGAACTTATTAGAGTTTATCTGTTGTGCTTGTGTGCATTGTGGAGGCATGCACCTGCCCTGGACACAGAACACCCACACCCATGAAGGGCAGAGGTGGGAGGATCTAGAAGGAACTGGAGGGGAAAATATTAACAAAATATCTTATATAAAATTGTTTTTTAAAAAGCGAATGTGTCCTATTCTCACCTTCCAGGATATTGTTCTAGTATCTGTAGACACACTTATGAGATTGTAAGAAAAGCATGGCAATGATCTTTCTAGGTAAGTGTAAATATAAGACCATTTCAAAGCAAGAGAGTAGAAAGTCATTATAACATTCAAGAAAACAAAAATATACTTTTGGTGATGCTAATTCTTATGGTTTAAATATCAAGGCCCACAAGCAAGCTATGATATACAGAATATACAGAAAAAATAGCAATACAAAATTAATTTAAACTTTTAAAAAGATTTACTTTATTTAATGAGTGTTTTGCCTGGATGTATGTATATAAATCCCTTATTTTCCTGGTGCCCTCTGAGGCCAGAAGAGAGCATTGGATCACCTGGAGTCACAGACAGATGTGAGCCACCATGTGAATGCAAGGAACCAAACCCAGGTCCTCTGCAGGAGCAACAAGTATTCTTATCGGCCAAACCAACTCCCCAACCTTGCCTTTAATCTTCAATAGCGGCTCTGTTTCAGTCCCAGGCTTTTAGTAAGACAAGAACCTACCATTCACTCATTTGATGAACATTTGTTAACATCTGCCTTGCACGTGATGGTGTTCTAGTCTTCCCACTGAACTTCCACCTCACCGCAAGCTTCACAGTTGTGAGACCTGATTTCTGCAAGGAACATCTAGAAATAGTGATTTCCACAAAGTCACCATGTTTTTTCCCTCTCTACTCAGTTTTGGAAAATCCTTCTTCATCTCCAGAAGTCAGAGGTTTAAGCCTCCATCACCCAGCCTCCCAAGACAGAGCTGATAAGGAGAAACCCTGGTCCAGTATGTGCAACCAGGTCCTCTTTCCTGTGGCCAGGTATTGAAAGATGGAGGCATCATCAGCTCCTTTGGGGGGGGTTGCATAGAGAGGATATGAATAAGGCGCCGGATGAGGCCATTGGAAATGGTGGAGCCATATCAGTGACTGAGCAAGCAAAGCAGCTGATAGGAAGAGGTCCAGATACAGCAGAATGAGAAGTCACCACAGACACACGTAGAGCCAGATAGCATTGCCTCCTCAGAGGCCTCCTGATCAAAACTGGTACAGAACCCGGTTGGCTGCTGTGTGTGATACCTTTCATATCCATCCAATAATTCCTTTATCACTGGAGCCTTCCTGGTAGAGCCCCTCCTGTTTAAGCAAACTTAAGCTGTCTAGGAGGAAAAGGAAGATCAAAGCTGTGAAACCAGGTATAACATGAGTGCTCCGTTTAAGGTACCACAAATGTGGTCATAACAGATTGCCCAAATGTGGTATCAGTTTTCTTGCTAGAGAAGATCTGAGTGAAAACTGTAAGTGGAGTAAGGTCTTCCTACTGACTCAGGAAGAAAACAAGCGAGCAGCTCTGTTCCTGAGAACATGCAAGTGGAAGTAACCCGCGGGAGACCTTCCAGGGTGTAGAGGGCTGTACTGATGTAATATTGGTTTCAGGGGATTTATGGAAGAATTCTGACAGCCCCTACAGGTCAGTCTCCCACAGGCCTAAGGAAATACAGTATGAAAATACCAGGTAGGAGGAAAGAGAGTTATTTAAAAAGGATAAAGGAGTAAAAGCCGTGAATAAAGAGGAGGGTGTCTTCTAGAATACTTTTGAGGAGGCTTACCACACTCAGGGAGGGTCAAGTGAAGAACTACCATGGGACCAACAGTGGCTTCTTGAATTTTTTATGATTCTTTTTTTAAAAATATTTTTATTTAAATTAGAAACAAGCTTGCTTCACATGTCAGTCCCAGTTCCCTCTACCTCCCCTCCTCCCTTGTCCCCCAACTCTCCATCCCTTCCCCCCAACCAATCCTCACTCCATTCCCCAGAGAGAGTGAGGCTTTCCATGGGGCATCTCCAGAGTCTGTCATTTCGTTCAGGGCAGGGCCTAGGCCCTTCCCAACGTGATTTCTTGATTTTTTTTAACATAACTGGAGCATGAGCTGAGGATGTCTGGCATTAAGGTCTGCTAAGCTCCATCTCTCTTTGATGGGAGATGTTATTATGTATATGTTTTTCTTATTGGTTGATGAATAAAACACTGATTGGCCAGGTAGGAAGACAGGAGGGGCCAGGGGGTAGGGGGGTAGGAGATGAGGAGAATTCTGGGAGGTATAGGCAGAAGTGGAGTCACCATGTAGGACGACAAAGGAGAAACAGGTCTGGATCCTTCTCCGGTAGAATAAGACCACGTGGAAATACTTAGATAAATAGAAATGGCTTAATAATTAAGAGTGAGCTAGTCAATAAGAATCCCAAGCCACCAACCAACAGTATTATAATTAATATGTCTTTGAGTGTTCATTTGGGGCAAGGTGGTTGTGGAACCGGAAGGGAAATCCCTCAACATCCCTAAGTGAAGTACAGTAAGAATCTATTACCAGTGATCTCAGCTGAGAAGCTGGATGGAAAAGGGAGGAGTGCAGAGACACTCTGGGGAGGAGACATCCTTGCCCTGACCTGTCCCCACACATCAGTGACCTTTGGGGGTAAGCCTTGGTTCACCAGTCAGTACTGGAACTGTATGAAGAATCAATACTATTATCTGGAAACCCAAATTCCATCATATAAAAGTTATGCACATTGCTTGCATTTGAGTGCTTTATTATATTGGAATTGCAGTGATATTAACATTTGTACAAATGCACAAAATCTTGTCTCTTCTTGCTAGAAAGAGAAGTAAAAATATGGCCTAGTCGAACAGTCTTAATGAACTCATTGTCCACTGATAACAATAAATGTGTTCACAATGCAACAAAAAGCTAAACAGAAAATTAAACACATTAAAATGCTGCAGCAAATATTTACACATATGTACCCCCCCCAGGTTTTTTTCTCTCCCTCCAATTGGAAGGTGGTTGCTTCACAGACAGACACACAAACACAAAGGCTTTGCTGTTTACAATGACAAATAACCCCAAATCCAGAACTTAAAGTGACGGCACCTTTTTCGGGGGGGGGGGACTTTTTCAGTCAACACTTACTTTACACAGTGCTAAACTTCTTTTATTCTATTATATTTTTGGACAATGTTTCCATTCCAATTGTCCTAGAACATTGTGTTTGAACAGAGCCATTATTTGGGGTCTTTTCAGAAGATCCCAAGTATTATGTACTCTCTATGGAGAACATTTCAAGCTTATTTTTTTCCCTTAGAGACAATCTTCAAAGGCAGTGTTCCTCTCTGTGAAGCAGAGGAGATTAGCAGAGGTCCTGGAAAGGAAGGGGTGGGCAGGTCTTCCTGCCCGCAGCTGCTTGGGAAGGGTCCTTTCCCTTGATTCCCTCCATGGAGCACCACTACTTTCCCTTGCAATTTTAGCAGTGTGGGGCATTCAAAAGGAGCAAATGAGAATCTAATGCATTGATTGTGTGGAAGATTTTAATGATGTAGTTAAAGCTAATTTATTCAGGTCCCACATTCTCCGATGTGAGGTGAAATGATTTTATGTTTCAAAGAATCCCTATAAAGTTCTAGGATATAAACCCCAATGCAGGGAAACCTTAAATGGCTTAGGAAGAAATTCCTAGGTCCTGACTTCTAATGAGCTAGATGCTTCAACTTGGTTTAAATATAGCAGCCGACTATCGATTCCCTTCCCGATGGTAAGCGTGGAAAGGCATCAGAGGGCCACTTACTGGTATTAATGTTTGAACAAAGCCTGGCAATTTGCCTTTACTCTATCTTCAGTTTGCAGTTAAATAGGTTTTTCTTTTTCAAAAAATAGATGATTTATAAGGAAAAAATATATAAACACTCTTTAAGCAATTTGGCTACAAGCATTACATCACTGAAAAATTCCACAAGGAATAGGAAGAGACTTTTGAACAGACGGACGTATTTCTATTGTCACAACACGACGAGTTAGACTGATTTGAGTTCTTTGTGTGTGTTTTGGTATTGGATTTTTACTCGTAAGTTTATTGCTCCTTTGTCTTCTGCTCTTTCCTTAGGCTGTGATTATAAAACAGAGGGGTTGTCCTTAACCATGCTACAAGGCAACATTGTAATATTGAGACCTAGGAATGAGAGCACAGGGCCACTGTTGCTTCAGCAGCCTTATAAAAACTATGGCTAGGACACCAGCGAAGTGTGCACCATGGCACTGGAGAGGAGACCTCTCCTGGCTTACTCAGGGTACTTTGGTTTGGAGGATGAGATAGAAAATCGTTAAGTGTAGCTTAGTTGTTGCCTCACATCTGTTGCATCATATAGCATTTTTCAAAACTATGCAAGGGAGAAAGAGATCAAGGGGCCAAATCATATTGTGAACTGGCGGCTCTTGGCATTCTTGGTGCAGGCTTCAGGAGGCCATGAGAAGCGCTGCTTAGCCACGCTAGGAATGAGTGCCTACACATGAACCTGGTTTAAATTTTTTAGAAACTATTTGAAATGGTGCCACATAGGGCCCTCATAGAACACTCGTAAAGGGTGGAGCCAACGCAAGCTGAAGGTCAGGAAAGAGGTTAGACAGATAAGCAGAGCAAGGGGGCGGGGCCAAAGAGCTAAAGTGCAACTTTAAAAGCAGGAGAGCGGTTCTAAATCACTATTGTGGCATAGGCATGGCTTTACCGAGAGAAGGCGGCTTCCTTTCCCATTCAGATACTAGGAAGGGACAGCGTTTGAAAGACCTCAAGCTGCTGCCCATTGTTTGGGAGGGGCCGGGAGCTCCAGGCAGCGGAGTAGTACAAGGTGTTCTTGGGGATGGTTGTGCAGTGAAGAGAATGAGGAGGAAGGCATTTAAAAAAAATAAATAAAAGAGAAGAAAAAATAAGAAAGTTGTCCTGGTTCTGATCACTGGCGCCCTTTAGTTGAACATGCTTCTTAAATGAAAGCACTTACTTTAAAAATGAAAAGAAGAAATAAATGTTTTAAAAAGAAAACGACCTTGCTCAGAATGTAGATTAACCAGTAATACACAGAGCAGTCAACAAGCCTCCAAAGGTCTACGCACAGAGATCTGAGCACAGGCTTCCAGCAAGTGATGGAAATAGCCATCCAAGACCCTGAAAAATGGCACTCTATCTAGGGCAGTTAATTATGGACTAACATTTTCAAGACACGTAGACCCTACAGAAGAATACTGTTCAAATGGAATGTTTAAAATAACATTTATTAATAAATATCTTATAAATTCTAAATTAAGATTTCTGTTCAAATTTCGCTTTGGTCCTTGAATCCCACTGTATACACATACATACATACATATATATTTTCTTAGATGGTTTTATTACTCAAAGAGAGGGACATTCTACCCTAACTGGAAGGCTAGTTTTATAGTAGTTACTGGTGCTTCAAATAAAATAATCCCAGCTAAGGGCTGTTTTGTTTTTTGTTTTTGTTTGCTTTTTAACTGAAGTTGGTTTATAATTTTAATGGCAAACTTCAAGTCACTGCAACTTGCTTTACTAGCAGGCCACAGTCACCTGAGCACTCCCACTGACACCTCTCTCGGAGCTTGCACTGAATCTTATTTATTGACTAGATAAGCTGCAAGGAGCACAGGCTGAGTCAGTCACCCAGATTCTCACCATACTCACCGGGAGGGCTCACAGGAGACCGGCCTCTCACAGGTTGTGTTAACACGGTGATGTAAGGGTAGGACGTGGAAGACTGGTGTCACCGGGGAACCACATGTAACTCCACATCTGGCTTTGAGATTAGGACATTTACCCAGGTCTGACTGGGGCTTTCAATCTCCCAGCACCACAGATTGAGGAAGGTATCAAAGAGAAACAATGCCTGAATCCAGGTGAGAATCCACCCGGCAGAAATACTCAAGTTACCAGCTCTCAGCACATTCGGCAGGGAGGGCCTGGAGAAGTTCCCAGAAGGCTGGCAGGGACTTGAGAAACAGATCCTGTGATAACAGAGCCACACAGGAGTAAGGAGAGGCAGTGTTGCTGGGACTCCCCTTTCCTCCTTTGGATGGGGGACTCTGAAGGCTGTCACCTCTGATTGATTCACAAAAAGTCTGCATGGCTGACACAGCAACTGGCTGGGAGGAGAAGATAATGGCATTAAAAGGATGCTGTCCTGGGGTGGCCAGTGTATGACAGGCACTGCCAGGGTCATTTCAGGGAGGCTCTGCCATCCCTCGAAGGCTGACCCTTTATGTGGGATCTTTACTAGGGATAGACCGGAAACTAGATTTAACCTAAAAGGGTTTTTCTCTTTGGGACTGTAGTACCCAAAGCTGGCACCCTCACTGCAGTATCTCCCTGCTCCAAACAAACACACCTAAAGGCCCGCACATAACAAGAAGGCAGTTCATTCTAATTATATGTTGAGAAAGGGTTGCTGTGTGTGGTGGCTTGCCTACTTAGCATAAAAAACAGACATAATTAAGCTATAAATTATGCACATCAGTCAAGCTGTCGCTGAATTAAGAAAAATGCAGGCAAGTTCTTAACTGCAAAGCCTGCCTGTTTAACAGCTAAGTATTTCAGTTGAGAGGTGGGAGAGGAGGAAACTAAAAATCATCATTTCAGTGGCAGGCCACTCCCTAGACATCATGGTATTACTAGTGGATTACAAAAAGAAATTCATTTCTTCAAGTGCTATACATGCAGGCAGGAGAGAAAAGGTCTTGCTTATTCAAAGTTCTGCCACTCCAACTTGACCCCCTTGTCTTTTGAGGGGAGCAGAATATCTACCTTGCAGATTATTTTGAATTAAACATTTCTTAGGAAGCCAGTTAGGTTAAACCATTCATTTACTGCCAGAATTTGGGAAAAAAAATACTAATATGCATTCCGTATTTAAACTACTTGAGAACGATACACTTCCATTTCCTAAAATACAATAGAAAAGCTTGTGTGCCCCATCTTCCTTCTTCTGTTTTCATTTTTCTTGTTTTGGCTGGGTTTTTTTTTTTTTGCATTTTTTTTAATCTTAGGCATATATCCAAGTCTTAAGCTTTACTGAACAGTCAAACTTGTTTCTCAAAAGCACAGCATACATGGAAAAATTGTTGATAAATATTGATTTTAAAAGTAAGTTATTAGATAAAACTGAAACTACTTACAAAAATCATGCTTCGGAGCCCTCATATTTTCTTTTTTTTTCCTCTAAAATAGATCTTTTAAACTATAGTGAGCGAAAAAGTACATCCTTCCTTTACTGAACTCTTATAAAAGTGACAGCTTTTGTAAAATACTGTTCTTTTAAAACCTACACTGTTCATAAACACACACACACACACACACACCTACCCGCACACACACACTCAGGCACACATACACACACACACACACACTCACACACACAGGTAAGGAGGTGAAGTATTTGGGCAGAGATGAAACACCAGCATATGCCTAGGCTGCTAGTGAGAAACATTAGCCCCTATTATTTGTGAAACACAATATTAAAACACCAGCAGAGCAGAATGGCTTGTTTCAAGGAGGCACAACTGTGGTTTGGGTTTGATCTGCTTTTCATAATGGGCAAGTTCATTGCTGAAAATATAAATCAGAACTGTTCATTGGAGGGCAACAGCCTGGCCACCTCCACTGAATTTGATGGGCAGCCAAAGAGTCGGTCTGTTCTTATAGACTGCAAGCACCCTGCGGAAACACTGGCCTTGCTTTCTCCCTCTCTGTTTCCAGGAGTGAGCCTGATTTTGCCCACCAGAACAGCACAGTTCCATAGGCTTAGGAAAAATAATAATAATAAATCTTAGGCTATTAGCAGCTGATGATTGAACAATGTAATCTGTGTAGTGAACAGAGCCCTTCTGAACTATTATATAGTGCATGGATTTTTCAACATTATAGACAGGCTATAGAAACGAGTTGTAATTCGAGGGTGTGATGTCAGAGCCCACATCCTAATTTGAACTTTCACAGTTGGGGCTTACAAAGTCCCTTTCCCTAGTGTCTCCACAGCTGGCATTCAATAGTGCTTCACCTATAACCAAACCACTTTTTATTTGCTCTGGTTATTAAAAACATTAAATCAGGCACATTAAACATCTCCTGGTTACTATTCTGTGAAAGGCAAGGGTTGAATGAACTCCAGCTGTGGGTTAAACTCAAGTGAAGCAGTGGCTAGGTCCACAGTTTCAGGATTTGTTTTTTCTTCTTCAGACATTATTTTCTTCTTCACATGCAAAGCAAAAGGGGAAAAGGCAAAACAGAGGAAAGCCAAAACAAAGAGTAAATGAGGAACCCGGGGAAGTGAGAGTGGAGGATATTGAACATCTGAGCAAGTGGATGAGAGCAGGAGAGGGCTGACATGCTTGGTGGCTTTCTTGGGACATCGGTGGACCATAGTTCCTTTTTTTCTAGCAAGAAAAAAACTCAGGACGGCCCATGTGTTCATCTGAGACTCTGGTGACATCACAGCACGAACTCAACATGAGTTATGACGCATTCAGATTTCTCACCCAGTTACTGTGGACCCATCTCACTTGGCGTCTACACATACCTCATTTTGGCTAAAAGCTGTAGTTTAACAAGATTCCTTGTTCCAGGCAAAGGGTTGGACTGGAAAGAATGAAACTATGGCTATATACAGGAAAGACTCCATTTATAAACAAGAAACTGGTACCAGAAAATTGGAGAAAAGCACCAACAGGCTTCCCAAGCTGATAGATATTCATTGCATAACTCCCTTTTTCTTATATAACTAAGTATAAAAGACAACATTTCCATAATAACTATAAAAATGAAGGCCAGTCTTTGAAAGAGCTGAGGCGTCTTCCAGGTCTGAGTTAATCCTAAAAATGCCCTTTGGAGAAAGGATGTGTGTAGCATGCCCCAACTCTTCTCAGAGGCCAGGTCTAACCACTGCCTTTTAAAGAATAGGATTGAGGTCTGTTCTGTGAGTCGTGAGCTGACTGAGGGTAGAGCTCCCCACGACCTCGCTGACGGAGGAGGACGTAGTGATCGTGTTATGCTGGATGACCGGCTGCTGCGAGCATGCAGGGACAGGGCTCGCAGGAGGGCTGCTCTCTGGACCTAGAAGAGAACGTAGACACACACACAAATATAGCTCTTTCTTGTGGGAACTCCTCAGGAACAAATAAAAATGTTGTTGGACATTTACTTCATGTAGAAGAATCTCACACATCTTTTTCTGGAAGGTATGGCCAAAACTTCATTTTAGACCGAAGTCACTAAGCTAAGCCTTCCAGGTTTATAGCTACGTGTAAAACCATGCTTTCTCCACCAAAGTGACTTCTTGTGTTTGAGTCTTGGTGTGTGAACTTCCCCATTTTGTATTTTCAGATAGCCGTTTGTATATTAAATGTGGAAAAATACTCACATGTGTTGAGAGAATCTGTGTTGCTCAATCTAAAAAATTATTTGAAAACAAATTGACCTTCAGCCATGAATCATTCTTTCTCCCACCATCCCTTATACAACTAGCATCTAGTCTACTGACATTCCAGGTGCAGAAAGTAGAGACAGGAAAAGGGGCCCCACTTTGCCTGCTGGTAAACTCGAACAGCCCAGGAACTTGCCAGACTGGTGGGCAACAGGCAGTATCTCTTGAGACACTGGGCATGAGTCACCAGTGCTGCCTCCCAGCCTGCAGACTTCTCAGCATGTAGAACAGGCTGCCGGTAATTGGACCCCCACAGACTAGTTTCTTCCTGACTACAAAGCTTGAATTTGGTAATGCAGAACATTCCAGAGCTTACCAGGAAGTGGTGGGCATGGTGCTGGAGAGGTCAGGAAGGATGCCCAGCAACCCTCCCACCCCCCACCAGCAGGAGAGCTTTTAATTGCTCAGTAATTCCAGTATATCTTCCTAGGTGTGCAACGTAGACTGCATTTTTCCATTTTAGTAAAATTCAGTGCAAAGTTAGTAACAAAAAAGTGACTTCTAAAGAATGAAGCAGCGGCTTACTTAAGTATCCTTGCGATTCTTTCTGCATGGCTGTAATCGGGCAGTCTTTATGTGTTAACAACAGCTGTTTCAGCTGGGCCACTTCATTTTTCAACATGGACACTTCATTCTGGAAAGACATAGTGAAATTGTGGTGAGCATGCCGAAAGAATGTAAACACAAAGTCCCACCCACTTTCAACAACAAAATCATCAAACTTTATTGTTTGAGTCTGAATGACATTAAGAATATTACTTGAGACTCCAAAGTTACACAGAGAAACCCTATCTTAAAAAAAAAAGAATATTATTTGGAGGGATTGATCTGAATTTTGTAGCTGTCCCTTAATTTGTCCCTCTAATTTGCTATGGGTCTTTTGAAGAGACCAGAGTTTAACTCAAGAAATGAACACTACTTTAAAAAACCAGATTACACCGTTTAAGTGATGGGCCCTGGAACCAGGTTATATAGGTGAGAATCCCCACTCTTCGCTGACCATGCAACTGGAGATGGATAACACAATTTAGTTAACCTCCACCAACCTCATTTATAGCATTTGGAAGATGGAATCAGAAACAGAACAACTTACAAAGAGCTAGGTGACACCCATGTCATGAACTTGACTTTCCAGGCACAAATAAACTAAAGAAGAACATTCCTAGAAATCTAGAAGTTATTTGAAAAAAAATTGGGACTGTTTTTATTTTAAAAGAATATCTCCCATTTCCAAATGCATTTGGAGTACTGGATTCAACTGCACACTGAATAAGTCGCTAATAAACTAACAGTCCTCTCAACTGCAAAAGATCTATCCATTATCTTTCAAACTATAAAAACATGGTAATAAAAAGAAATTCACCTAAGTATGAGTAAGTCATTTAATTGGTACAGGAAAATTGCTCTTAAATCTGAGAGCATTCATGAAGTCAAATGGTACCTCCTACTTCCCAGGGAGTATGATTGATAGGGACCAGCTAAAGCCCAAAGTGACTTCCCACAATTCTAGGGCAAGTGGAACAACTTTATTTTACAGGGAAATTCCCATCAGCTATCAACCAACTCTACTTTGAACTATACCTGAATTATGATGTTTAAATAACCTTTGTTTCCTCCAACCACCAAGTTCTCCCTGTCTTTAAAACAGTATGTAGGAAAGTATCACCTTTAGACAATTAAAATCCTGTTTAAAAATAAAACGACTCAGACTGAAACAGAGAACTGTGATGTGTGTGTATCCATGCACTCACACAATGCAATGGAATGTCTCACTACTTGCACACTTAGCAATGATGCTCTTCTGAATACACCATGCCGGACACCCGAGCGCCTAGCAATCCTCTCAGCTGCAAATGACGAGACAATGGCACTCAGAAAAGCCACCCCATTTCTACTGTGGCCTAGAAAAAATAACCAGCAAAGTCTGAGAGTCAAACATGGGGGTGGTTTGATGGGTCAATGTGCTTGCCACCAGGAGTGAGGACTGGAGCTCAATCTCTAGGATCCACAGGGTGAAGAAGAGATGAACTTCTACAAGTTACCGCTGATCTCGACATGTGTGACATGACACGTGCATGCCCCACAATAAATAATTTTAAAATTAGCAAACAAAACCAAGATGGATTATTTTGCTTTCTTAACACCTGTTTAATTAAAATTCAATCTTATTTGCAGCTGATGGCCATCTTGGAGAAGGTGAATATAGGTTCCATTTTATCCTCCACTGTGCCCTGGGCAGTGACCCTGTATAGGCAACATTTGAGCTCTAGTCAGAGCATGTCCATTGCTTCTTTTTTGAAATACCAATAATGCCATTGGCTACTAGTGGGAGCACATCCCAAACTCTTTCACGATACATTTTCTGTTTCCACAAAGCAATTTTACTACAAAGTAGCAATAGATTCAGGTCTGTTACTAAAACCCTATCCAACTATATGGCAGCAACATTTTGACCATGAATAACAACATACTTCATTAATAAACCAGTATGCGGTAAGTAGGAGAAGGTTTTGAGTGGTGTAAAGTTCTGAAAGGGTGTAAGAACAAGGGCTGAAGGGATGAAGGGTTCCCAGCATTCACATGGTGGCTCACAACCATCCATAACTCCAGTTCCAGGAGATTCAACAATGTCCTCTGTAGTTTCCATGAGTACTAGGCATGCACATAGTGTGTATACATGCATGTAGGGAAAACAATTATATAGATGGAAACATAAATTATGTCTAAGAAAGATGTAGGAATTCAGAGAATGTTGTAAAACCACCACCATTTAAGGACAAACATGAATATGCACAGATTTCTGATGTTAGTAATTGTGTTAGTTGGCCCAGTCACAGTTTTAACAACATCAGCAGAGAGAAGTAAGCAGCCCTTGGCTTCAACACACATTACTCTGATGCTGTGGAGAATAAGCAAAAGCCTGAGAACCATGGAATTTATGCACAGCAACCCACAGAAAAAGCAGCTCACTCAGAATTGTGCATTATAATCAGGTATCGGTAAAGAAGGTGTGGCTCAGTGGTATAGCGCTTGCTTGGAATAGGAAAGGCTCTGACGGCATCCCTAGCACTGCGAACCAAACAAAATGACACCACTACTAAGGACAGTAGTAGGGTTGACTTTAGAAAATCACTCCACCAAAGTCCAAACTAAGATGGATGGACTAGTTTAATTCTTCCCAAAAAGACAGCTTCTTATTCCAGAGTGATTCTGTGTTGCTTTTCTGTTGAGAAACTCAACTACTTATCAAACGGAGGAGCTAGTCTCCATCTTCATTGGCCAGCAAATCACTTTGGTTATTCTCACAGATGCTTATACTCCAGGCCTTATGTCTCAAAAGGAAGCCCTTTCCATCACCCTTTAGATGACCAAATCCTAACAAGGCGCAGTGTATAGTCACAGTTTCATTACACACAGAGAAAACAAAAACAAAAACCAAACAACCAGTGTACTCATACTGAAAAAGAGTGTCATCAGGGCCCTTTAATTTGACAAAGGGCAATAACTGCTGTCCTAGGGAAGGGAGGCTAAATGGAATGCTTGCACTGACAGGGCATCGAAGGACTCTGCACCCAGAGAAGACAGGAGCAGAAAATACACAAACATTAGACTGTGCTTCTACTCAAAGTCTTTTTCAAGGTAAGAGGACTAGAATCACCTTGAATTCATTTTGTAAGAGAGAAACCAGATAGCAAATGTTTCAAAAGCGCATGAAAGAAGTCAAACTTGGCCTAGAAGTTCAGCAAGGAGATAAAAGCCAGAACTGTATGAGGCATCAGCTCACTTTATGAATGGAGGGAAAAAAAATCACATTTGAAGTTCACCTTTGTTGGTTGCAATGCCTGTTCTAGGTGCTCACATAAATAATAAAAATCAAGGCTAACTAATAAAATCTCGGGCTGAGGTCAATCCTTTGGGTTTTCAGTTGTGGAATGGATCTGAGGCTGCTCTTCTTAAAGCAGTTAGCTGTTCAGATAATGCTGGTAAGATCGGGATCCCATCACAATGATGTGTTCTTAATTCACACATCTGCCCGAGGGTGAAGCAGCAACCATGTCGAGGTGTTCCACACTTCAATACCATCCTTTAAATGGCACGTTCAGAATTCCCTGACAGCTCGGGGCTTTGGTAATGTCATTTTGTTGTAGGATAAATCCACAATGCTGTTTGGTATAAGCTGGAGTTTGTGCCAAAAACATAATTACCGCAAATGGTCCAGAACCCCACCCCCTTTTTCAGATTAGCTGAGGGCAGGTTTGGTCCCCTCAGAAACAAAGGACTCTCAATTTGTCAAGCAACAGTTTCCATCTGGCCCGTTCCCTTGCCAAGTCCCAGACCTGGGTTTGTGTGTCTAAAATTTCAGCATCAACTTAGACCATGTGTCTTTGTACTAAAAAGGAAAAGCAATTACTTTAGCGGGTGACCAGATGATTTCCATATCTCCACTGAACGCAAATGACCTAGGAATGCCACATGAGCATCGATCTGTCACAACAGCATCAACAGGCAGGGTCCTTCGGTTCAAGGGCTTCTTAGAAGGAAAGATGTCAGAGTAGTGGCTTAGGGCCACAGGCAATTTGCCCAAGACCTCACTCTGATACTTACTGGTTGTATGACATTTGGGGTGACTCCTGATCTCCCCAAAACCTCAGTTTCTTCATATGGTAAAATGGCAGGTTAGGCATTTTCTAAGTTTCTCTAAATCCTACACCTGTGTTGACCTCTTGGGCAAAGATTTGCTGTGAAATCAGGCAAGGAAAACTGGGGTCTGCTTTCTGTTTTCCTAAGTCTTGTTTTTCCAACCGAGAGCTTTGCGTCTGCCTAACCAGAGGGTTCTATTCTGGAAAACAACTCAAAGGTGGCAGCTGGCCATTCGGACCTTGGATGTTCCATCTGGCTAGGGCTTGTTTGCTTAGCACCTTTTATTTCTATTTACTTAAAATTTGGCTCATGGGACCAGTCTCAAGAGAGACACCTTTTCCTTTTGACAGTGAGAAGAAAGGGGTCACTCAAAGGTAGGAAAGGCTGTGACATTCTCTCCTGCATCACGGGGCATGATAACCCCCCGTGTATAACCAGAGAACATGGGGCTGTTGTGGCTTTTGTCCCTCTGGTCCCCAGCCTCCAAGCAGTGCTTGAAAACCATCAGTAAGTGGTGTTTGTGATCTTTTTTGCTTTCTCTGTACTGATTTTGTAGCCGAAAGTTACCAGTGTCTGCTGCATAGACTCTCTAGGGCTGATGATTTTTTTTCTTTTAAATCCCAGTTCTTAGGACTTAGTACCTCTTTTTCTTGGCTGTCTTAGCTATTTGGGTTCTAAAATATTAAGCATACACACACACACACACACAGTGAATTAGTGTCTAGCAAAGGGTAAACGTACTTTGTATGTTTTCTGAAAGCAGTCATAAATAAGTGTATGTCAAGACCCAAACACAGCTGACCTCAGACTCAAGGGCATCTTTCTGTGCGGCTCTCTGCTGTGATTCTGCTCAGCAAAGATCCTGGAGTAAATCTTGGAGGACCCATTGGAATTCACACTGATTTAAAGTTTCGTATCTGACACATGTCAGCCGGCTCTGCATGGCTCTGTTTTTAGGGACTTGCACTCAACTGAAGCTGACTTTTGTACCCCCACATTCTCTTCTCCAACCAGGGGGCCAGTGGCACTGTCTGGAGGTATTGTGGTTGTCACAGCTGAGGGAGGGGTTTTCTCCTGATTCTAGAAGCCAAAGATGCTATGAAACAGCCTAAATGTCACATGCTGTAACAAAGATTCCCAGAGTCAATAGCACTCAAATTGGAAACCCCACGGGTCTCCACCATCCTCCTGTAGGTCTCAGAACTGCTAGGAATTCCTGCTTCACTTCTTGCTCAGCCAATGCCACAATGTGTGGTGGGTCTGCACAGCCCAGAGCGTTCACTCATTTCACGTATTTCTGCAAAGCGATTCATTATAAAATGATTTGCCAACAGTGTCTGTGAAACGGTAGGTTTAATGTTCCAGTCACACTCCAATTTATTTTTAAAAAAATGTTTATTTATATACGTGTGTGCCAGTGTGAGTGTGTGCCATGTGTGTACAGGTGCTCGAGAAAGTCAGAAGATGGCATTGCATGCTCTGGACCTGGAGGCTCAGGCAGCCATGAGGTACTCTGCATTGGTGCTGGGAACCAAACTTGGGTCCCCTGAAAAAGCAGCAAGTGCTCTTAACTGCAAAACCATTTCTCCACCCCCCCCAGTACCATTTTTAACACAAACACGTCAAAGCGAAAATGTAACCACAAGTGCTGAGATGCTTATCCACACTCCTGTTAAAGTTCCCCACAGACGACTCTGCCTGCCTGAGTGCGGCTGTGGCTTTGAAGGTGTCTAGCGCCAGACACCGCATTGTGGTTTGACGCACTGCAATCAGACCGCTGCCAAGTCGGTGAGGCAGCCAGTCTGCGGACACTCTACAGATGGGGAGCTTGTTCAATGATAAAAGCAAAAACAAAACACAAGCAAACAAAACCCAGTGCGGGTCCTGTGCCAGAAGCGGGAATAGCCAACAGGGAGGAGGTACAGTGAGGCACGGCCCCAAACTGTGTGCAAGAACAGGCATATGATCTTATTTTATGTAAGCTGTGTATTTTCTAATTTCATCATGTCTATCACAAAAGGGTGATACATCTAATGTGTGTGTGTGTTGGGGGGAGGGGCTTGAATGCCTGCAAGTTACTGAGTTCAGAAAGATACACCAATCTTCCTCTGTACACTTTGATTTGTACACGGGATACCATGAGTCCCCTCCATTTAATGCAACTCACAATGCAAAGACGCTGGGGTTTGACGTCCCGAGTGCTCCTTTGAAAGGTGCACAGATAGCTGGGGCTGTAGTTCAGGTGGCAGAGTGCTTGCTTAGCATTAGTGAAGCCTCAATTCCCAGCAACACATAAATTGATTGTGATGTAGCATGCCAGCAATGTCTGCACTCTGCAGCTAGAGGCGAGGAGATCAGAGGTTCAAGATCATCCTTAGATGCATAGCAAGTTCAAGGACAGTGTGGGCTACAAAATGCCCTCTCTCAAAAAAAATTAAAATTAAATCTGCTTACAGGTGTTCCGAGACAGCCTGGAGAGACTGTCAGTTACTAAGGTGTGCAATCTGTCTATTTCGGTCACCTTATCCTCCTTCTTATGCCCATAGGCTCCTCTCAAGTCTGAGAGGGGCTGGTTGTATCTAAAAAGGCCTCCCAAGGTCCCCGAAGGTATTTGTCATATATCAATTTCACTGCCATTTTCTCTGGAGAACCTTCCTGATGTTAGAACAAACACCTCGAATGCATCATCGGCGGGAGGGGAGTTCTCCTGAGACGCACCACACATTAATTACTTTCCTCATCACACAGGAACAGTTTCTCTAGCTAAGTTCCTAGCTAAGCCACCTCTGGAAAGCGAAAATCACACAAGATTCCAGCCTTCCTGAGTTTGGAATGAAGATGGAGACAGGCTTTGCTTTCAGAGCACACAAAGCTAACAACAACACATGAAATAATGCTGCCAACTAAAAACAAAAACACAGACAACTGGTGTATGCCAAGGGACCCTCAGCCTGGTGCCAGGGACCATGTTAGCTGCGTCATGGACATCCGTTCACATCTTCCCCCCAACTCTGGGAAGTCGTTCCCCATTTACACATGAGGAAACTAGCCAGGCAGCCTAACACAGCCAGAAGCCGCTGAACCCAGGTTTGAAGCCCTGCTCCGTTCTGTGTTTGACCCCATGCAACCCTCATCCCTTGTGGGAGGACTGATAGCACCGAACTACGTAATGATGCTGGATGAGACGGCCTGGGGTTCCTCCGAGGTGAGGTGTGCGGTAGGATCCCGTGGGTCAACAAGCGGCTGCAGAGCAGGAAATGCCAACCGTGACAAGGGCTGGGGAAGGGATGGGACCGCACCTGAAGCTGCATGTTTGTCTGGGTGAGCTCTTCTGCTTTCTTTTCCAGTGACATCACCCAGACCTTCCTCTTCTGTCTGCAGCGGGTGGCAGCAGCCCGGTTCCTTTCCAGAAACTTCCTCCGCCTCTCATCCGGGTCCTCATCCACCACCCTTCGCCGGCGCCCCCCTGTGGGCTGGGGCGGCTGTATTGTCTGGGTTGGTTGCATCTGTTGTGTGGCTGGTGAAACCTGAGGGGAAGGAGAGGGAGGAGGTGATGGGGACGGGGAAGGGCATGTTGGATAGGGAAGACTCCCAAGCCAGTGTTAACAAGAGCAAAGCTCAGGAAGCCAGTTGCTTTTTAGTAAGCACGTGAGACTCGTTCTCAGTGTATGGCATAAACAATGAAATCACATTAGTGAGAGCAAAGTCGCTGAACTGCAGTCTATGTATTTGGGTCAGATACAGGTGGGGCTAATAGAAGGGTACAAGCAGGTGAAATTATTTTCCAGACAGGCATTTGGAAGATCGTGGGAGGAGGGGAGCATTTGTTTCTTCTTCAGGTATTAAAAATGTTTTATTTAAGATGCGTTAAAGAACATTAAATTGGTAGTGGACTGCTACTGAGTTGAAATCGGTGACATCAATATTATCTCCATAATAGTGTTTTGTTGTGTTTGTTTTGCAGAAAGCCTGGCGGCAGGTCGTGTGCTCCTTTGCTTCCAAATGTGTTTAAGTCCCATCAGGGGAGCACACCTATGGGACACTGCCATTGTCACCCCTGGACTCCTATAGAAGAGCCTTGTAAATGCAGAAGGGAGTTGTAGTCCTATTTCCTGTTCCATTTTTAATACCTGGGACTAAAGACCTACAGACTCCAGGCAGGTGTGGTCTACAAGGTCCTCAGAGCCTGGATTAAGGAGGAGGGAGTCTCAGGAGAGCTTCCTAGTGACAGGGTCTTGGAAAGCCAGCAATTCTTGCCAGCTCTCCTCTCCTTTGTACACTGCAGGGTGAGACAGTGAGGACAGGTTACCTCACACATACCTACATTGTAAAGAAACACTAGGAGTGGTCACACACTTTATTAAAAAAGTTTTACTAAGCTTTAGGTCTGCATGGGACTCCACAACAGGGAAAGATTGGGGACCCCCACACAGGCAGCTTTATTTCCCTCTAAGAGGCAGACATGCAGTACCTTGTGAAATTTCTACAACTCCTCTTTATATGTCTGGGCACCTAATGCTTTTGCTAACGCTCCTCACTCCTTCCTCCCTGTCCTGCCTCTCAGTCACCCAGGTTTGCAGCTGTAATACCTATAAAATTGTTTTACAAGAGACATTTAACCTACAGAAATAACAGGCAAAAAGTTTTCAAAAAGCTAAGCTCAAAACCCTTTGCTAACGCATTCCAACTCTCTGATTGAAATCAATCAGAATGACTGTAATTGCACTAATAGTGGCTGCGGGTTGACATCGGTCGACTGATGGTGATATATTTTAGCCCTAAACTCTGTCAAACCTTCTATGACTAAACTATAAAAGAATCAGATTCAGGAGGTCGGTCGGATTGCATCTCTGTAATTTTATCTACAGCGAAGGCATTTTCTGAAACTCTTTATTGACAATTCCTTTCCGCCCAACCACAGAGGGATCACAAAATAAGTAAATTTTCTAGGGTCTTACTCACCAGGGTGGTTGGTGATGACACAATCTTTGCCATTGGCTGAGATGTAGCAAAGTGTGTCGAGTCAGGTGCTGACCCCTGAGCTGGCTCCTGCAGAACCAGGCAACAGCAGCAGGAAGCACACTGGCTCTTTAGCTACCTGGCGGTTTTCACGTCTACTTTTCGCTCGTGAGATCTCTTACTACCAGTCCTGCCCAAGACGGAATTAAGCAAGACTGGACTTTAGTCTTCATCACAGCAAGGACCTCTCACTGCCTCGAGCTACTCCCCTGGTGTCAGTTCCGTACACTCAGACACCCCTCCTGTACCTGCAGCCTGGGTGCTAACTGAAGGGGAGTTCTGGCCCAGCATGGGTCCAGGGCTTTCACTGGGGGGAATACTGGTTAAGAAACACTACTGGTGACCATGAAGTTTCACCAGGATTCTGAATTCACACCTAAATGGTGCAGGGAAGTCACAGGCAGCTGGGAGAATATGAAGGTACAACCTAAAACCAGACAGTCTGTAGTCCTGTTAATCCCTGAGACTCTGTTTATGTTCCAGATGGGAGTCCCTTACTGGAGTTCCTTAGTAGAGCTGCTTTGCAAATTTTCTAAAAAAAAAATGAACGGGGATGTGAAGAAGCCAGAATTTGTCCCAAATTCACTTTGACTCTCAGATTTGGAAGAATCAGAAATTTCTGTACCTGCCGTTCAGACTACCATATAATTGACAAGATTTTGTCAGTAATCAGCCTTGTACATATAACATGAGTGACAGTTTAGGATACCATCTAAATGATCCCTAGATACAGAGTCTTTCTTTTTAGACTAAGATTTAGAAAAGAAACTCTGGGTGCAGCTAATTACAATAGCAATTAGCTAATTGCAGATACAATTGGGCACTTACTGACTTGAAACAGGGCAATTGGCTAATTGGCACTTAGCTAATGAACAGCTTTCATATTTAAAAAACTGTTAAACTTGTCTCTGAAATAACTTGCCCAGAAAGGCACCCAAACCTTGATGTCCTTCAGTAACAAACACAGAGAGAATAGACGACCTTTGTCTGGGACGGCTTTCCCCTTCCTTTTTGATGCATGTCCCATAGCTAAAATGTGAATAAAATATGCTCTGGGGAACATATTGTCACTGAACTACTTTCTAAACTTTTGAATTATTTGGGTTTTAAACTCCATCCTGGCTAACATGTCTGGAAAACTTTTTCAGAGCCTCTGTGGCTTCAAACTCATGATACCCTATAAATTTAATCTGGCACTATCACCGATGGTGATTGAGAAAGCTGAGGTTTATGGGGATGAAGGATAATCTATATCTCTGTTCGAAGTCGCCAAAGTCAGTCAAGAAAAGAGCTGGTTTTGCGCTGTACAGCTCAACTCTTCCAGCTGTGCAGAGCACCACTAAGGGTCTTTGAAAAGGTAAGTTTATCTACCCGATAGGTTAGGAAGTTGCCTGTGACTGACACCCACACTTCACCCCTTACCTTTCCTGGCTTGGGTTTCTTAGGGCAGGGAGCTCGAGAGCTTGCCTGATCTGGACCTTGCCTCCAGAGGCAGACAGCAGAGGAGAGAGTGAATAAGCACTCCTTGGCAGACCCTAGCTTTCAATGCTATTCTGACCCAGCTGGTCAGGACTGGGCTGTGTGGAATGGGTGGAGGAGACTGGGGAAGGTCATCTTGCTTGAGGTCCCAAAGCGACTAGGGCTCACCGCACTCTTGGACACATCCTTCAGCTACTTAGGAAAACCCAATCCTGTACAGGGACTTGCTTGTCTTCTCAGCCTGGGTGACATAATGTCTGCCTGGTCCCCCAACTCTCTTTAAGTGCAGTCTGCATGCTTGTTCTCTTGCTGGTCAGCCCTGGTGACTCCACCCCTGGGATATGACCTTTCTTTCTCTTCGTCTGATCATCTGCAGAGCTTGGCTGTCTCTCTGCTTCTGCCAAGATGTTTCACATTCAGTGATGAGTCACTTCTCACCATCTCTACAGCACCTGTGTCCTAGCATCCCTTGATGAGCGTCTTCATTGTCAGGGAGAGGTACTCTTCAGTTTTTTAACTGTTACTTAAAGGTCCCTTTACTTACATCTTAAGTCTCTGTCTCTGTCTGTCTCTCTGTCTCTGTCTGTCTCTCTGTCTGTCTGTCTCTCTGTCTGTCTCTGTCTGTTTCCTCTCCCCCCCCCCTTTCTCTATCTCTGACTGCTCTGCCTGAGTGTATGCCTACATGCAGGAAGAGGGCATCAGATCCCATTACAGATGGTTGCTGGGAATTGAACTTAGGACCTCTAGAAGAGCAGCCAGTGCTCTTAACCACTCAGCAATCTCTCCAGCTCTGCTTAAGTTTCTCTTAATTCTCCATTATCTATCTTTTAGGACAAACTTTGTGATACACTTCCAAAAATACAGGGTTTGGAGAACTTCTAGTTTTCATCAGTTCCCTAGAGATTGATGAAATTTATTACCTTGTTTATAGAAATTATGACCCAATCGTGTCTTATTATTCATGAACACTTCCTAGGAAATGGACAGAGCTCCCCAGAGCATCAGATGGAGAACCTAGGCTTATTGAACACAGTAGCAGCAGATGATTGCAGAGTTAGTGCTCGTGCTGTTAACATGCCAAGGAGAAATGCTGGTGAAAGTGTACCTGTGCTTGGTTGCCGGAGTGCAGGGGTGGGTGTGGCGAGGTCTGGTGGTGTGCCGGGTGTGCATGAAGGTGGGAATGGGAGTGGTGATGCGGGTGGTTCTGCTGGTGGTGAGGCTGTGGGTGGGGATGGTGTGCGGGGTGTTGGTGCTGGTGCGGATAGGGGTGGTGGGACGGCAGTGTCTGGTGCTGATGCGGGTGGGGGTGCATGTGATGGTGCGGCGTCTGGTCTTGCCGGGAGCCCATCATCTCCATCATGTGCCCGATGGTGTTCATGTTCCCATTTGACATGGCAGCAGGGTGGTGAGTCAGTGCAGCCTTCAACCTCTGAAACAATAAAAATGGGGGGGGGAAACTGAGGTCACTCTTGCACACAGTGAAGACTTTGAAGCAAAACAACTCATACATTCAGTTCTATAATATTTTTGGTGCTATAGTTACGGTAGCTTATGTAAGTGTGTAGCTTTGTAGAATCTCACTTTCTGAAAAACGTATTACTATAGGTAGAGGGTCACTGTCTGTTCTGTTAACTGTTAAATCAAATACACAGGATATCCTAGCAATGTTTACCAAAAGGTATTTCCTACTGTGCCATCTCTCACCATGCCCTATTGTAGCAAAATGTAGGTACAAACCAAATGAAGCCATGTAATATATTAACGGTTCCCATCCCCACAGTGTGCAGGAACCACAAGTACAACACATTGTGTCTTGCAAAAGATTTCTCAGATGCAAGGAAGAGATCACATCAAATGTCAGCATGCAGGAAAATTACTAACGTTATCTTGAGATTTCAATTCAGCCTTAGCAACCCATAAGACAATGTGAAATTCCTTTGCATTTATTAACCATGATATTTCTCGTGACCCCTCCTGATAACCGTAGTTTTCTCACATGACAACTTTCATCTAACTTTAAGCATGAAGGGAGGAAAATAGAATGGTCCACGGCACTGCACATCACCTTCTGTGATGGCCACCAAGGTCCATGTCCACCAAGAAACTCCCTTCATTACACAGCAGCCAAGCACACCAATAGTTTCCACCTGAACCTAGAGCAGAGGCAAGCCCAGGTTATCAGATAGCTTCCCTCCCCCCCCCCCCCGCACTGTGAACTTCACTCTCAGTTCAGCAAGCCTAACTCTCAAACAGCTGTAGAGGATGTATAAATGACAATGCCTGCTGTTCTGCCTTGCAACTTTATTTACATACAGGAATTTGAAATTTCACATAATATACACAAAATGAAGTATTATTTACTTTCCTTCCTTCCTCTCATTCTTTTTCTTTCTTTCTGCACTTACTTGCTTAAAATGTCAAAGCCGTTCTTAGCTTACAGTATGTACAAAGTTATGGTCTAATTTGAGATTTGGCTTATGGGCTGGGATGAGTGGGCTATCAATATTAACCCAGCTCCCTTAACCTTGCTTCCTTTGTGGGAAGTTATCCTATTCTGCGGGTCCCTGGTGTGCTAAGATACTGTAATGTAGTTACTCCTTGGAAATGTATGCCGGGAGGACGTGAGTGTCTAATTGGCAAGCACACTCACATTAGCTCCAGGAAGACTAGTGGGCTCCAGTTCTCTCCAGATTTGTGTTCTCATCAGATGGTAACACTGAACATCACAGATAGAGAACAGCCTTCAGATGAAAACAGATGCCACAGCACTCTAATCAGCACACCAAACTTTCTCAACCAATTCAGCTAACTGAATCTTTACTTAAACATAAAGTGCCTCCAGAGGAGGACAGGGTGGAATACCGGGTTGATACAGATCATCACTACAAATGTTTTCTGTATCTTGATCCAACAACCGCTGAGTCCATTAGACCTCTCAGGATGACCAGTAGCTATTGCTGGGGCAGCATCAACTTGCTAAGGACAGTCAAGAGGAAAGTGAGCTTCCTCAATCCTGGAAAAGCTTAGGTTTTGGGCACTGTGTTTACTACTAAAGAGAAACATGAACTGATACTCCTCAGGTCTGTGATGCAAGATGATGTCATTGTTTTTCTGAAAATAAACAAACAAAATGCTCATTATAAGAAATTTAAGCAATGCTTGAGAGTGCCACTTAGATCCAGTGTGCTGTTTGTACCGTGGGTGAGCAGCAGTGTTCCAGAAGCCTACGTTTGCATAGGGAGAAAGGGAGGGACAGGTGGGATAATTGTAACGTCAAAAGTCATAATGAGTGTCTGGAATGGAATGAACTGCTTCACATAGTGCTTTTTTTTCCTGAACCGGAAAGTCTCGAGAGAAAAAAGTATGAATGAGATTATGTTGAAGTTGTTTTAAGTTGACTTACTGCATAGTACCAATGGGCCTTAAGTTTCATTATAAAAACATGTAGGATGCTTGGAATCCTAGCATTGAAACATCCAAGCTCAAGGCCAGTCTGGGCTGTGTGTAGACATGTATGCATACATATATTTGCATGTAGTTTCATTGTTAAAAAATTCAACTGGTACAGGAGTACTATGTGAAAAAGTAAAAGCCATCTGCCTAACATCTCTCCCTATGCCCTAGTCCCATTCCTCTGCCACTGCCATGTGCCCTCAGACAGCCACTTTAAAGAGTTTGTTATACATTGCTTTTTATCACTTCAACCCCTTTATATCACAAAAGTAGCTAATGCAGATGATCAAGCATTAATTGAGCGCTGGCCTGTTCTCACTATGTTTCTAAATATTGGGTCCCTAGGCATCAGTACAATGATACTGCAGGGATAACATGAAGGGCAAAGCCTGTGCTTGGGCATGGCTGCTGGTAAGGGGCAGATGCTTTCCTCTGAGTGGGAAAGTGAGTGTGGGAAGCCATGCCATTCACCCTCTCCTGGAAGCAGAAATTAATTGTGTTGTGGCACTTCCCCATCCCCAAAAGGAAAGACAGAAACAAAAGGAAGAGCCAGCAGAGCTGGCAAGATAGAGGTCAAGGTGCAGGCTGCAAAAGCAGATATGTATGTCTGATACTCAGCAGGCAGCTGGAGACAGAAGGCACTCCGTATGTAGGAGGAAGGGAGGTGGCTGCGAGAATTTCGAAGAAGTCTACTGCAGCACAGGGGCATCCAGGGTTGGACATCTTCTCTCTCTCTTTGTGTTTGTGAGGGATTCACTCTTACATCCACTCATACCAAAACAGATATGGTAAGCCTTGGCCAGACCCTGCTCTCCCCAGGCAGTCATACCAGTTGACCTGTAGGCCCAAGAGAAACATCAAGGCCTCTTTAATGCCCTTGTCTAAGCTGACTTTTCCGTTTCTTCAGACATTCTGAAGACTTAATGCTCTGCTCCAGGCTGCTCCCTAGTAAAAAAAATCTTCCTTACTTTCTGCTGAGTCAATCCCCAATGATGTATGTTCCCATTATAGCCGTATACCTTTTAGAAAAAAAATGCATCTTTTGCTCTATAAGGTGATTGATTATTCCATTAATATCCATTAATCACCCGGATCATGAGAATTTTTGGATTTCATTAAGTGTTAACTTACCAGCTTCAGTACAGAGACTAATCCATAATTATATATGAAATTAATATATGAATAAATGAATGGTTACTCCAAGGCTTACAGCGGAGACATAGCATTTTTGTCTTGGAATACCACATACAGTTTTTTTGGGAAGGATGATACATTTGTTAGCAGAAGTCACAGAGGTAGTAGACCCCCAAGACGTGATATCAAAGGACCCACTCCTCCCCTTTACCCAGCCTTCCCTCTAGAAAATGGCAGAGAAAAAGGAAGCAAATGGCCGAGAAGGTGCACAATAAATTCATCTTCATGTCTCTTTGAAATCAAAGCATGGAAAAACCAAAAGCTGTGCTGGAATGGGCCATCGTGTTGTCTCTTCAGTGCTATAACTGACTTTCCCACCTTTAATTAGGGGCAAATGGAGCCTGACAAATACATACTGTGTACCAGATCTTCATCTCTCAAATAATTAGCTTGTACTGGTGAAGGGAAATTACTTGATTGCCTCAAGTCTGTTCTTGTATGTTCCAAGCCAAGGCAATAACACCAGCAACGCTAATAACATTCCATTTAACTATTTATTCACCCAGCAAATATTTATTAGGTTTTGACTCCATGCCAGCACTGCACTGGGCACTTTGTTATTTGCTGTCTGCAGTAAATGGAAGATACATCAAACCGGAGCTTTGAAAAACCGGTGGAAAGAAAAAATACACTACGGTATGACAATGAAGACGTTGGCTCCCCTTGGGAAACCCTGGGCCTGGGCTGAGTTTATCTTCCAGCCCTCATCACAGTTGAAGGCAGCCAGTTCCGCAGCTGCCCTGCACATGTCCTCTCCCACACCACCAGCGCCACTTCAGACCAGTTTGGGGCAGTTCTTACAGTCATGGAACCACTACTCCCCTGTGTTCTGGTGCCAAAGGGAGCACATGCACTGGGAACCATTAAAAGACCCCCGATATAGATAAATGCACCCACTGTCTGAGGTATGATAAATGATCAACTAATGAGGCCAAGCTGTATTTTGCAGAATGAGCTTTCTTTGTGAAGCTGCGAGGTGTCTTGTTTTAAATAATACGCTGTCAAATGCCAGGAACAGGCAAGAGCGTGAGATAGACACTAATGAACAAATAAACAGATTTTCTCAGCTCTAAAAAGAAAAGAAAAAGAGACTAGGACTGAGCAGGGACTACAAGAGAGAAGAGGGAGATTCGGCTGGCTTTCTATCGAGGCCCCTGACACACAGCTGCTTTCAGTCAATTAAAGGTCATCTTCGTTCCAGCCATGTTTCGCCAGCTGCTTGCTCGCTGTTTCCAGTGGGAGTGTGGGCCTGTTGCCCTGGCAATGAGTCCCGGGAGGAAATTAGCTGTCCACTCCTCTCCACTTCAGTGTGGCCGCTGCTGGGTGCCAGGGTGCCAGGTCCTCTTGCAGTTAGCCCAGGTTTGTATCCTGGTACATTTCATGAACCCCAGATGCTCTCACATCGTCTGTCTCACAAGAATGTGGGAATGGGTGCTTGTGTGAGTATACGCACACCCACACACAAAACACAAGCACCCAGCGCGGCGCATATACACCCACGCACACCCCAGGCAGTCTTTCTCCCATTAGCAACTCGTTCATGCCAATTAGAAGCATTTGTGTAACTGTAAAAGCCTCTTCAGTGAGGTAGATTGCCGATGTTCATAGCCTCGGAAAGCCAAGCCAGATCATTAAATTTTACTTGAAATTCAATTGGGTGGGAAGTGGGGGAAGGTGGGAACATTCTTTCTAGAAGGCTTGTAATTATAAATTCCCTTCTGATATGTGATCACATCAAAATGTAGTTCCTGGGTTCACCACAAGTAAAAAGCTAGCTATATA